TTCTGATGTGACATGACAAATTTTTTTCCAAAGAAAAGAATCAATTTAAAAAATATTTTTCTTCATAAAATATTTATGTAGTTTAATTATTATTTGAATTATTAATAACATGCTTGGTTAATTTTTGTTAATTATATTTTTACCCAAATTGCAGTTTTTTGTAAATATATAATCTTTTGAGATTTTACTATGTTTTCATTATCGCATTTCCGCTGTAATCTCGATAAATGTGTAGTATTTATCATATAAAATTCGTACATTACAAAACATAAACAAATATGGCAAATTCCAAGAACAGCTTATGATATTATTGTTTATTTAATACTTTAATTGAGTATATGGAGTGTGTAATTTTTACAAAATTTACATTATTAGAATCTTACACTGGTTTCACACGAGGGTTTTGTTGGTAATTTCAACTGCCAATTGTTGTTGCTTTCAACGCAAAATTAAAATTTTTGACAGCTAAAATCACAAACACAACTTTTATATGAATCTAGTATAATGCTATTGTGACTACTTTTGAGGAATGAATGAAATATTAAATATAAAATGAAACAAAACTATTATTTATCATATGTGCAAAAAATTTTCATATGTGCAAAGTAAATATTTTATGAAAGTAGTTAAAAGGTGTGAACATATGATAAATCTGACAGTCAAATTAGAATGATACGTAATGGGAATCGATATTTCTGCTTTTTGAGTTTAGATGTCAGTTTAAAATTTTCGACAGCTGAAATCACAAACCAAACTTTTGTGTGAATCTAGTATTACATTTTAATAGCAAAAAAATCTATTTTATTATTATTAAAAATGAGTGGAAACATCCTAATAGAAAAAAAATGTTTTATTTTTATTCAAATGCGCACTTTAATTTTAATATTATATAATATATTAAATCATACAAAAATGTGATTAAAATTGATTTATAATTTTAAATCACGTTTTTCTTAAATTCAACAATATTTTTCTCAGTGTATTTTTTCTCAGAATAAGAAAAAACTTGTTTTTACTTATTCTTCGTTGACAAGAGCTGTCATTAGTATTTACACGTGCGGCATTGTAAGTTTGTTAATATAAATATTATATTTGTAAAGTATAAAAAATAAGTATGTCTGTTGCAAAACGGAAGCGAATTTCAAAGAAAAATAAATCTGCTTGGCGAAAAACGGATATAAAAGATGTTGAAGATTATCTGGAAGTACAAAGGCAGGAAGAGCGCGTTGGGTAAGTTGTCTGTAGAGGCAATGTGTCTCAGATTCTTAAGAATATGTTTTAACATAATAACATTATTTGTTATGCAGAACTGTAGCTGATAAACCAGACGAGGAACTGTTTATACTTGACGGTGAATCTGTAGCACAAAAACGTAGTGCTCTGACGGAAAAGCAAAAACGCAAAGTAAATGCCAAGAAACCTTTGCGTTCATTAAATGCTTTAATAAACACATCCAAAGTACAGGATCCAATTGTAAAACGGTATATTTTGTTTTATGTTATATAGTTACTAAATTTTATTGAAAATAAAAAATGCATCACATAGAAACCGCGTCAAATTGAAGAAATCCGGTAGAATAATTGAAGAAGAAGTTCGTAATCCTACTAAGCCGCGTCATTTTCAAGCAAATAAAGATCGCGCTCGTTACCATGAGACATTGGAAAAGAAAAATAATAAAAAAAGTAGGGAAATAGATACAAGCAAAGATATTTGGGCAGTGGAAGATTTTCGTGACAAAATACCTGGTTTGAAGGATGAAAAAGGTTGGATTAGCAGAGAACTTGCACTACATGTAACAAATAATATTGGAAAACCTGTAATAAAAGTACATGAAAGCATTCGGCATCGCACAACAAAAGCAAAGTAAATTAATGAGTTTTTGTTTGTATGTCTATTTAGTATGAAAATAATATCACAATTTTTTTTATATCAGGAATTTTGAACCACCACATCCAGGAACAAGCTACAATCCATCACTGGAAGATCATCAAGATCTCTTAGCTAATGTTGTACAAACTGAAACAAAGATTATTAAAAAGGAAGAACATATGAAACGTATAACCACAAAAATGTTTTCAAAAGTAACTCCAGAGGAACGTGATCAGTTACGACTTAAGGAGATGCGTGCTGGTTTAGATGATGAAGATGAAGGCAATAACACAAATGATGAAACAAACGATGCAGACACACCGTATACAACACTTAATGCACCTGTAGAAAACAAAAAGAAAAGTAAACAGGCGAGGCGTAAGGAATTGAAACAGAAGGAATTGCAGAAAAAACATCAAGAGCGAAAAGCTTTGAAAAAGCAAGTCGCTGACTTAAATAGGTATTGCTTCGAAATTGAAGTAAATAATATAATTTATTTATTAAAACTAATATGTTTCTTATATGTTTTTAGAATAAAATCAATTAAAGCTGAAGTACTCGCTGAATCAGAAGCTTTAAATCAAATGAAAAAACATCGCAAAAAAGTTGCTGAACAGAAGAAATTTGAACCAAAACGTTTAGGCCGTCTTAAGTATGTTGAACCTGATGTAGATGTTAATATGGCTGAGGATATTGCCGGAAATTTACGTAACATTAAAACTGAATCAAGTTTACTAGTAGATAGATTTAAAAATTTCCAAAAACGAAACATTTTGCCAACAAGTGTTGCGACTGGCAAACAAAAAGCAAAGAAGGTTAAACGTTTTCCACGAGCTTCACATAAAGAAGCTGGCATCTCACATCAAATGTTAAGAGACCAAAAGAAGTCTGGAACTTTGAAATTTATTAAATAAATTATTTTCAATTTTATTATGTATTTTAATACAAATTATTAGAACTGTGTGTTTACTTAATATGTATACATTAAATATATGTAGAGTAAATAATAATAAGAATGTGGCACTTATATATTCGAGGTTTTAGAAAAGATTGAATTAGAAAATATTTTAAGAAATGTTTTTAAATATAATAATATATTTTTAAAGCATAAGAGTATTTTGTTTGAAATTTAGTTTAAATCAAATATTTTAAAGCTCTATTGCTTTTAAATCTCGTACAATGTTCACCATAAGACTTATAGAACCGCTTTAGCATATTTCGTAAGGATTTCGTATGATAAATGACACATATTCCTGCATATTTGTCAAATTAACTATCGGTTAAACATGGCACTAAAAGAAATATTTCTTGTAATTATTGGTCAACCAGATTTACAAAACCTCTCTTATTAAAAAGTGTAATTTTTTGTTTGATTACTAACTTCGTATACTTTTTCATTTAAACAAAATAAAGTGGTGATTAAAATGATGATTTATTAAAAAATGGTTTTATTTAACTTTTATATGCAAATATAAAAAATTTAATATCTTTTTAACTCATTAACTTTTTAACAATTTAAGTTTGAATATTAACTGATTTGTTCATTTACTATACATAAATTTATTAAATATTACCCTAAATGCAACATGTATGAGTATTCTTCTTTTACTGCACAAAAAAAGCAGTATCTTTGGTTTAAGTTGCCTTTGTTGTCTTACAATATCTATCATAGGCCAAATTTTTGCCAAAGTTTACTTAATCGTGTACCTGAATCAAAAATGCTACGCACCATAAATACTTGAAGCAGACCAACAACAATCATGGCAAGAATCTGTATAAACAATTAATTATTTATAGTGACATATGTACTATATTGTAAGTCGGAGCATATAAACTAACCTGGAATATTGACCATGCATTCACCATTTGAAAATTGGCTTCGGCAAGATTGCGATCCCTCGCTTCGTGCGAACGTAATACATCCTGCAATTGTCTAGCTTTAGTCAACGCTATGCGTATGCGACCGAAGATGTCCATAATATCTTGAACTGCCATATCATAATATTCGTTACTAGTAAGACCATCCAAAATGTCATTAGAATGTTCGACACCTTCTTCATCAATAATTAACTCGAAAAACACTGTTTTACGGTTAAACATGCTAAAACTATTATCAAAGCAAAACCTATAAGGTCCTTCTTTCGCAACATCAAGTCTATGTATATTTTCCGGCTTCTTGAAATCATTAACTAAAATCATGCCAATTGGATCAGCTAGTGCGAAATTTATATCAAGATCACCATGTCCTCCATCTATTACCTGATATTCTATATCAATTGTGTGTCCTTGTTTAGCATGTTGAAAAAAGCATTCCTAAAAGTTATAACCATTAATTTTGAGTAGTTAAAAATGTATTCGAATTTACAATTTTGCCGGCATCTATGTGTACTGTCATTTCTTGTTCAAATGCATAAATACAAGTACAAATTAATAGCAAATATAGAATCGTATAATAATTATTCGACATTTTTACAAAATAGATCATTAAAATTTAATTTTATAAATAAAAACAAACTTTTTAATGCTATAACGATAAATACGATATTATAAAAATGAAGAAGGAAATGAAACGTCAAAATGTTAAGAGTTGTATCTGGAAAAATCATGTGTAAACTTGAATCATGCTTATATGTTGAGAGCAGTCCAATATTAAATCAGATTTTATACATTTCATTTAGGTCCATGTTATACTATGTTTTCATTGCTTACTTAGTAAGTTATTTAAGTAACTTTAAGATTTAGTTTTTGATTTGTTTCCATTGGCGTAAGTTACTTAAGGGCAATTTTAATTTTTTATTGTAATTTTTATTTTTTATTTTTAAGTTAAACAGCATGAAAGCTCTTTGAATAGTTAATGAAATTTGGTTAGCAAATTTTATTAAGTCAGCAGTGGAGACATACTATTATATAGAGAGTCATGGGCTCGTTGTAAGCAAAATTGTTGTTGTTTTCAATGGAAATTATAAAATTGAGAGTTAAATAAGAAACAATATACCATTTCGTATTCGGTTTTGAGCACTGAGGCTATATGTGTCTCATCACTTAGGCTAAGCTGTGTCATTTAATTTTATCTTTGAGTATATAAATGTCTTCAAAACCCTAAATATCGTTTTATTGTCGGCTTAGTATATATGTGAAAAAATAACTCATTGAAAATTGTTTCAATAATATCTAAATCAGTTTAATTTTTAGTCCCACATTTTGCAAACACACATTTTTAATTTAGTTTTATTGCTGTGAAAATATTTTGACATTCTCATTGTAAAAATAGTTATGTTGCTAAACGTTAAGTGCTATTGACTACACTAAAATGATTTAAACATTATAGTAAACCTCTAATATACGTATACGTAATTTAACGAATGTCCAAAATAACAAACGAAAAAATTTAATCATTAACCAATATAAATATGAAACAAAATCTCTTACTAAAAAAACAGCTAAAATTCTCCATAAAGAAGCAATGTAATATGTAAGGATTGCAGATAATGAGGTACATAAGGTATACACATTATACCATTAATATGATTTTATAGGGTTTATAATAGCAACCACACGAATAGAATAGAAATAGATTAATGAAAAATATAAAGAACCAAACAAATGTGTGGTATATTGCCTCTATATCAAATATAAATATTTGAACTAGTAAAAAGTACATATCTATATACATATTCATCCCCAATCTACTACTACTCCTTAATTTCCCATCACTCCTCCTACCCTCACTTAACAATTACCCATCTACACCCTAATCCATCTATTCGTCGTATTATTTTCGTGCATATTATCTGATTTACAGATCCCTGCAGACTACCACAACAACATATCTCTTATAAGTGTATATTGTACCCTGTACCGAATTTTTCAATTTAATGGTTTATTTAACCCATTAATCTGCTAGAGCATCTGCTATGTAACTGTCCGTCTCTCTCGAGAACTCGACAAAAATACTTGCGGGCTGTCAATTTTACAGGACTGGAGTACATACCTGAGGTTGCTGGTGAGCTCTTAATACAATTCGATAATAACACGCGCATCGTAAGTGATGCACATTATTGCTAGAAGTAAGACTCTAATCTGATATTACAATGGATCTTAATGGTCTACGTGTGGTCTTTTGGTCTGCCAGCATAACTTAACCTAACCTAACCCATTAATAAATCTCGGTTAGTTATAAAATATTTCAAGACAGTTTCATTTTAAATAGTTTTTTGTCACATTTTGAATTTTTTCAACATTACTCGTTAACATGCACGTCTACTTGTAAATTGTATTTGCAAGTATAAGCTCTTATAAAGCTTAATTTATTTTTGTACATCTGGTCATCTTAAACTTTAATTAATTTCTCTCTTATTAGAACGTTTGCCGCTAATACAGCTGTTTAGTGTTGTTCTTTTTTGTGTATGACCGCTAACTGAAAAATATTTTAGGATTGTGCAAATCAGTTTGTAAAATAATTACAATTTATACACACGTTTAAGTGCCAAATAATAGTAGATAATGATATGTATTTAATTTAAGCACGAAAAAAATCAGTTTTCTTTACATCAAAATGAGGGATTCCTTCCTGTTGCTGATGGCGCATTCGCTTATCGGTAAAATTGCACTTGAGTATAATATATTCTTGTTTAATTTTTGCTAGTCATCAATTACGGTAAATACATGTACTTTACCTTTTTAATACAGGCACTGGCTTCTTTTTTCTGTATGTGCATCATTTACGCTCAATTTATGAGTCTCGTACGAGTATTGCACATATGACCCAACTGGAGCGTGAAGCTATGCTACGACAGGAAGATGCACTTTATTTTTCATTTTATAAAACATTAGTATCGGAACCGAATTTTATGAACGGTATTGAAAAATTAAAAAATGTAACTGATATTGAGCACCCACACCACGTTAATGTGCTTCAAAGATTCTATGTATTGCCAGAAGTGACAATTGCGTATGTATTTTAAAGTTTAATATAAATTAAAATGTAGCTTAGATTAAGGATTTTTTCAGGTTCTTATATAGATACAGTGGTTATCAGAGATTCTCCATGTTGACTTGTTGGCGTTCAGGTGATATGAGCATGACAGGCGAAAGATGTGATGGATTTGCACAAGCCATGCAATTTTACTTGGAATTTGTTTGGTTATTGGGAGGCTTAACGTTGGTTGTTATTTACTTATATAGCACGTTGTTAAGGTATATTCCCGTTTGCATTAATTTTTAATATTTTATTAAAATATAATTCAAAAAACTAATTTTCATTGTTTTTTTTTTGCAGTGAGAATGTTTTTGGTGGCATTTATGCTGTTGTTTCCTACATAATGTTCCATAGTTATGCATCGAAAATATATGAAAGACCAATGGCACGGGAAAATTTTGCATTTCCTTTTATTTTACTACAAATGTTTTATCTAAGCGTGTGCATTCAAAAAGTTTTTAAGCAGAAAGAATATCAATTTAGCACTTTTGCGGTAAGTGATTACAGTTAAAGCTTTCTTAAATGTACAACGGAGACACCAATAATTTCGTCCAGTTAAGAAAATTGTCCATTTAAAGGAATGTATTGTGCGTCTATGTGAATATCAGTTTTATAGCGCTTTCACTGTATCTTACATTTAATATATTATTTTATTAATATAATAGTTCTTGAGAATAAGAAATACGAAACGTTCATCTAGTCATGTATTTACAACTGTTAATATTTTATTTCTTTAAAGCTGGTTTTTCCTGCAGTTGTTATTATGCAGAAATTTGATATATTATTGACAATAGTCTTAATAAACAGCAGATCGTTTTAAGTGACGAACCTTTAGCCTGGTAGAAGTGTACTAATACTTATGCAGACATATTTATAGTGTAGTCATAGATAAATTCCACAAATTTCGTGTATTGTAAACATCTGAGTGAACTGATAAGATGTGCAGTTAAAAAACAGAAGATTAGACCAAGTTCAATTTATTTCAATACATTCTTATATCAGAGAATTATTGGATTTTGCATATTATTACATCATATATACAACTGCATAGTGTTGTA